TTTTTTTTTTACGTTTGTTACATACATTGCTCAAGCACAGAACAAAGCAGCATGCACAAGTTGCTTTGAGCCATAGTTTTTAGCTACTGTGCATGCAGAAAATTTAAACAACAGGCAAAAAAAGCGTTAAGAACGTTCAAGCTTTTATAAAACTTACCCTTGCTCATCAGAAAGCTTTTGAAACAGTCTGAGAAAGTGGAAACCAAAAGAAAAGAAAAGATTCAGTGTCTTGCTTGATATTCACAACGTTAACACGATCAGTACACCAGCATTCTCAGTGAAGGGGAAACTGTGAAAGGTTGAGGACTAGCCAGCATGGAATAGCACATCGGAGACCTGACACTAGTCAGAAACACATCAGGACTTGCACGATGTGTAAGTTGGGCAGAAAACCCCGACAAAACAAGGCTGCCTGTAAGTTTCCAACACTTCCAGTTTTAGAAACATGGCATGAATAGAGCCTTGTAGGAATTCTGCATCACTTATTCCAGTGCTGTGAAACAGCACGAAGCTCGAAAGATACTTATTTCGAGAAATTAAAATTCAAGCTGTCTTGTATCCCAACAAGAAGGAAGCCTGGTGCACAAAGGCGGTTCTCGCGTCATGTTAATTCACCCAACTCTAACACTAAACACAAGTAATACATGGAATGGATAAACATAAAAGGCCCTATTTTAAAGTTTAGGGCATCAAGTGGAGACCCAAATACATCCAATGTGATCCAAGAGGATTTTTAGTGGACTTGAATATGAGCATCTTATTCTATCGAATTAATTCTTAGAACGTGGAATCCTTTCAAGCATTTCAGATATTTCTCAGTGAAGCTTGCACTTTGTTAACAGCATTAAGCTTAAATATTAAATACAACGACATCTACAACAACATCAAAGTATCAACTGGAACATGAAAGTGTCTTAGTCACAAAGCAAGGATGCACAGCTGGAAGAACTGCAACTTGCAATGCCGTATTTTCAGAGCTAATAAAATATTCAAAATCCCACTCTCCCACAGTAAGCACAAAATGGAAAGGAGAGCTAGAAAGTAGTTCAAAATAGACTTTAGTTGTAGAATAAGAAATTTTGAGTATGCCAGAAAGGTTGAGGACTGTACCAGATATAAAAGTAGCAAAAAATACTGGAAGAATAAGTACGTCTCAGTGGAATTTAAAACTGCATGCACACACACCGCGTACACACCATGACTATGCGGGGCACAGCAGTGCTAATATTTTTCCACTTCACGTGGTAGGTCAGTTTAGGAGCATTCTCAAACTCAGGTGCAAGCAATACTATCACAGTGCCCATTTCCAGAATTTGTCATCAAAACATTCATGTATTTCAGAGGTGTTTTTACCATTATATTAGGGAGGGAAAAAAAATATATATATGTATTTCTAGCCTCTATAATCTTTTGAATAAACAGTATTCCTGTTCAACTATAGAAAGAAACTTTTATAAAACTTTGATGCTGAAGGAACCATAACATACTTAGGCTGCCATTTTAGAGAGAAAAACCACAAAGCATCCTAATTTTTGTTGAAAATATGGTATTGCAGTCAAGAGCTTCTGTTCAAAGCAAATAAAAAGCTGGTCCAGGACTACACAAACAAATTGCAGTTTTGCACTCTACGAATGGTTCAGCACAAGATGATGCTTTTCTGAATTGAAACGGTTCAATTAATTCAAGCACAATCCGTGCAGGACACAACCTGACCTCTCCACCATCTGCCGTTTCTTGTGTCTAACTTTGCTGGCCTCCCTGATCGCCTCCCACTTCTTCCAGTCTTCTTCGCTGCATGGACCTGGGATAAAATTTACTGGCTGCACGTTGCTTCCCACTTTCCAAGATTCAATCTTGCGAGTCAACATATCGTCCTTCTTATGTCGGGAAGACGGTGACAACACCCTACCATTGCTCGCTCTTTCCTCCGGTGTTGTGCTTTTTTCAAGTAAACACAAAAACTTGGACCGGATGTCCTCTGGAAGACTCCAAGGGTCAGGAAAGAGGGCAGGGTGATATTTGTCTGGAGCACCTGACAAAGGCACCTCTTTTTTCTGAGAGAGGATTTTCCGAAAAATCATGTCATCTTTTTCCAAATCTGGAATCACAGGTTGGCCTTCTCTAGGTTGCAGAATTATTTCACCCTCTAGGGGAGACTCCTGCTCAGGGAATTTTTTAAAATACTCAGGGTCTTGGAGTACAACTTGATTCACGTGGAAAGCCCCTGTTTTCCGGACAAACAGGTCATCATTTTCTAAATCTGGATACAGATATCCATTTTCATTGTCTCCTTGTTTGCATCCTGGTACAAAGGAAATATTCTTTCTACATTTTATGAGCCTAGGACCAGAAGTAGGATCGATTTTGGTCTTTGTTTCAGAAGACAAGTAGTCAGAGTATTTTTGCAGAGCCTGAAGTAACGAAAACTGACTGAAGCATATAAAACAAAAGGAGGGAAGTAAAATATCATTAACTAGTAAGAGACAAGCAGATCACAACGTATTGAGATATACATTTGGTTTAGACTTGCAGTATCGCAAGCAGTACAACTATACCACTTGGCATTCACCACTAACTACAGCATAGCGCACATCAGCTGCTGCAAAACGGCACCACAACATCCTAACCTTCTCCGAAAAAGCACACTTGCATGCCCACACACAAAGCCAGTAACCCTATGCAGCACGTTACCCTTTTGCATTTACACATTGCAGAAGACCAGCAACTTATGATGACATTAAAAAATCCCCAGAACAACAACGCAGGATGCGACTTAATTCCATTTAGCTGTTGCATAACCAGCCATTTCCTTCCAATGCAGCAAAAATACAGCTCATGCAGCGAAATCAACCTGGGCTCATCAGAAGCCTCCAAGATCCTTTCTTCTGCAATCTGTGACAATGATTTTCCCACATACTCAGCAGTCGGTTTATAGTTTTGATCCCTTCTGCAACTGCTGTTCCACTCAAAACTTGGTCTTGGTTGATGACCAAGAATGGCAGAGCTTTGTCTATAAGCAAAATCCTCATCCTCAGAATTTGATTTCTTTCTACTGTGCAGCAGCACAAAGAAGGGAATAGAGGGAAAGAAAAAAAAAAGCACAGTAATTGAGTAAAACGCACAACGCCAATGGTGCAATAGTTTACTGGAAATAATATCTCAATTATTTTTTGCAAATAAGAAAAAAAACATACCCTGCTGCCACACAGGCAATAAAGACGAACAATGAAAAATTCATACAACCACACTTTGTTTATAGGTTTTGCACACAGGAGAGAAACAGGAGCATGCATAAACACGCACCTGAACCCTTGAATCTCTTTATACCAGGGTTTGAAAGAGGATTTCCTGATTTTTTTCCACAGCAGTTCTTCTTCTGGAGTCCAGAACTTAGGAAGAAATTTGTCAAAAGAAACCACTGTGTTTGGTGCTGAAGAACTTAGCTTGCGAAAATAGAGATCATCTTTTTCAATGTTTGGGATGCCTATTGATTCTTCTTCATCCTCATCAAAATAGCCAGATAATTGTGAAGGAATGTTAACTCTTGGCTTGTTTTCCACTTTAGTATCCAACTGCCTCTGCCTCCTTTGGTTACTGTTCAAAATACCCAATCAGTTAAGATATTTTAGGAGCAACTTGACATAAAATATGCAAAAGACATGCTTTTTGGCTTAAGACTTCAACCTTGTGAATGAAGCTAATTAGTTCTCAATTCCATCACTGCAGCACCAGGAGGGGAAAAAAAAAAAAAAAAGTTAAATGGTTATAAAAGCATCCTACTGCCTCTCACAAAAACAAAGTTTGACAGAAAAGGCAAAGTAATTTATCAGCTGATTAGAAGGCTAATTTTACGGAGTTATTTATAGACTGCAATTTAGGTAACACAATAGTTACTGAATCTTGGATTAGTATCTCTGACCTCAGAGGTTCAAGCATTGTGGCTAATGGACCAGCTGGATAACTTTCCCGTGAGCAAGATTTAGGAGAGTCATTGCGCAACATGAAATGATGTCCAGGTGCAACAGAGCTTACAGGGCTCTTTCGGATTGGAAATCTACGTTTTGCTAAGTCATCCATAACCACGTCGGGCAGCCTTCTTTCATCTTCTGAATCAGAGCCACTGTCATAGTCATAGATCATCTGGAGGGAAGGTGGATTTGTGAGCCCACATTCTGCTCTGCTATTTTGGCAGGAAGCTACAGGATTCCTTTCACAGCCACTGAGGTTGACCAAAACAGGAACAGAATGAAGACAGTGAAGTCACGAAGGTAACGACGAAACCCAAGAACTGCCCCAAAAATCTCAAGTGTACACATTTACAAGTCAGCAAATCACTACCACACTTTGGAAACCTTTAACAAGGAGCTAAAATTGTATGTCTAGCGTACTTAAAACTGCATTGAAGATCATTTAAATCCCCTCTATCTGAGGTCTGAACAACCTTAAAACACTGCTCAAAAATTAGTGGAATGAGTTAAAGGAAAAAAGGAAAAGAAAGCTTAAGACATGATAACTCAAACGCTTTACCTTGAATTGCAACAATAGCAGCTTTTCTTTAATAAATTAAACATTTAGGGGGAAAAAAAAACCCCAGAAATCAGGAAGTCTGCTTTACTAAGCCTGCATACCAGTACCTTGAAAATGTTCCATCTGACTCAGTGTAGACTGGACTTGCCCAGCTCCTTCTGTTATCCTCATTCTTCTCTGTCCTTTTCTTCCTTAAGGGTGCTGGCACATATGTTGACTGCTTGTTTTTGTTGGGTAAGAAGCGATTGAAGTCAGTAGTAGGTTTCGGTTCAATTACAGCAATCCTGCGGTAGGACCTGTCATCTTTATGGGAGTCATGCATTTTGAAAGGCAGTTCAGAGTCTGTGTCGCTTTCACAACCTTAGGAAAAGGAGAGAAAAGGGACGACACAAAAATTATTCTCTAGATTTAAGCTTCTAGCTCGAACTTAGATTGAAACGTTGTAAGAGTCACGTCAGCTCCATATTTGAGATGTTTCTGCTGCAAACTTGCTGAGGTCCTGACAGGACAATAGCAGAGGTATTTTTAGAAATTTCTCATCAAGCTGCGATAAGGTCCATTATGCTGAGCCTGGTTTGCTACATTCATTCCATTCTTTCGCTATCACTGTTCCATACAGGAAACAGAGTGCTAATCTCTGGATCGAAGCATTAAAATAACACAGAAGTTTTTAATTAAAGACATACTTGCCACTCAAATTTACTAACAAACCCAGGCTACTAGCAAACAATTAAAAAATATACCCATCACAGCAGATTCATATCCATGTCTTCCCATGGGTATGTCACATATGGTAGCATGACTACATAGTGCTTCTCTCATATCAGATATGCCCTGTGTAGCCTTGGCAATGATTTTATACCATACACACTGAACAAAATCCAAAAGCTCGCTATCTTTATAACCTTAAAATGTAATAGTAACATGTAGTTAAAGTTTGCAGGAAAACACAGCTTAGAGTATAACTGCAGGAACCAATTTCACAAGCTTCCTTCTTGTTATGTTTCTTTCCGTGACTAACTAATAGCCAAAGCAACTACTATTATTCAGCTTTTAACTTAGGTGAGAAAAACCCCTATTTGCATTCAGTACAAATGAAGTGAACACCTGGAGGTTGGACATCATATCCATTTAAGGGACAAGGCAATGCATGTTCGCAGCTGTTGCGGTGACAGGTGATAGGCATAGGGACCTGACTTATAACAATTTCTCTTCCAGCACTGCTAAAAAATACCCACCACATATGCCCTAAGATGGCAGCGAGAGCAAGAGGCCCAACCACTCCATGCAGGAACAGTCACGCGGGCATTGCTTGGTTTCTACCAACTGTTTAAGGTCAATATTTGCTTATCTTAAATACAACTGCAGCAGGCTCTCTAGAGATGCCTTTCAAAACGGTTTAGATGCTAGAGCACTCAAAGTACTAGATCCATACGCTGTCTTCTCCCGCGCTCACAAGACACAGAATAACTAAAGATTTAAAATGGGAAAACATACCTTCACTGCCACCTTTCAAGGTTATATCTGATGAAAAGCTTGTGGAGGATCGTGAACCAAAAGAGTCCAAGCTATCAAAGGAGTCGTCTCTTTTATGGCTGGCTGAAGATGAAAAGGGCTCTGCCCGGTCAATGTACCAAATATCACCGTACCCACTATCCCTGCCACTTCTGTTCAGATGGCTGGACTCTTCGAGTGCCTACAGGAGTAAGTTTTGAAAGGCCTTTTGCAATAATTTAAGAGGTAAATACTACTAATGAGTTCAAACTCAAACATTTTTTTTTAAAATTCATTTGTATGCAAATGAACTTGAACAAAGACTATCGTAAACCCCTAAAAACTACATATACAAAATCTTGGATAGCAGGTTCAACACAAGGCCTTTAATTTCTCTTATCTCAGAGCTCTTTGCAATCTACCAAATGAATGAGAGCAGAAGGGTTCTGAATTTCACGACGATACTGGCAGCAGAACTCCTCACATCAGGTAAAAATCATTCCTTTCACATGGACTTTAGATAGCAAGAAAAACAAACAAAACAAATCACCATGCTCTCCAAACTAAGAATAATAATTCTTAGTTAATTTAGAGATAATTTAGACTCGATGCTGTAACTTACAGCAAACTAATATACAAAATGTTCAGGTTTTTTACTTACCATTCTTCTTGGATGTCTTACCTTAGTCAATGCTTGTCCTAACAACTTCTCAAATGCTTTAAGATTGAGGTATGGACCATTATAATGGGGGTTACTTTGTGCTTTTCTCCCAAGCCAGTACAATGTAATCAGAACCTAGAAACAAAAACCGTCAAATATAAAGCTCATACAGTTAGCTATCAAAGAGCATACAGACATAAAGAACTTGAGTATGCTGTTAGAGATGTTTTCCACAACCAAGTGTAAAATCTTGTCTGCACCATTAGCTACTATCTCCATTAAAATCAATTAGTGTTTTGATGCATCTAACGTATCTCAATTAAGTAAATTTAAGGACTGTTTCCTATTAATACATGTATTTGGAAAAGTCAGCGGGGCAGAGATCATAGCAACATAGCACTAATTTATATCAGATAAATGAACAGCTGAAGAATAAGGTAAGCCTCACACTGCCATGAACAGAAGTGTTTTAAAAATACTAAATTGGAATTAGTGTGAAATTGTTTTAGAAAGCATTAAAGTAAACGTGTCTTACATTTTTCACTCTTCTATCGGTCTCCTCTGGTCTGAAGCCAGGGAAGGAGAACACAAAAAAAACAAAACAAAAACAAACTTTAAAGATCTCTGACTTTGAATTCTATTATTATTCAAGATTTAACATGTCACAAGATAAAATAAATTACCATTTAAGACGACCAATTAGAGGCTGGTATAAAATATGGAACTGTGACTGCTCCAAAAGAAATAAAAAGCAATTAGCTTTGAATTCACAGCCATAACTCTGTACCATTTCAATCATTACACATAAAGCAAGACACTAACTGCTTTATTATAGTCTGTGATTTGAGAAGAACCATACTCTAAACTTTTTTTTAAATTAGCTAAGGTTTTTAGTCAGCCACAAAATAAAAGTGGAAAACAAGCTAATGACTTTTGGTGATGGTCAACCCCTATTAACCCTCTGTCGGCTGCAGACAAAGATCTTTAGTTCCATATGTAAGCAGATTCAAATGTTACTTTTTTCATGGTTATATATTTTCCAAAATATTTGTCTTCAATGCATAGAATGTTTTAGCCTAAAGAGAATTTTTCAGACAAAAAAAAAAAAAAGTAACTGAAACTGGGACACAGAGAGCGTGCTGTTGTAGGCTTGGAAGGAGGGTTCTGGTTTGCTTTTAAGTGGGATACATATTTCTGAGGGGCAGGGGGGCTTAAGAACGCGAACGCTAACGTTAGTAAGTGTTTTTTAAATTACTGATTTATGGCATATTTCTCAAGCGTACCAACACATCCCTCCCAAACATGGGTGCCACAGGTTCACTCTGCAGTTGTAAGCATCCACAGCCAGGCCTCTGAGAGCAGCTGTAAAACCCTCTCGATGGCAGTGCCAGCAGTTCAGAAAAACAAATGGCCTCTCCTACATCTAAACAACTTATCTGTTGCAGACACTGTTGGTCTGAAGCTGGCTCAGCAGCAAACCTCACACGCAGCATGGTGAGCGCATTCAAACAAAAACAAGTAGAATTAACATATGGCAGCAGAAAGACCTATATAGGACACCATAACGGATCAGACCAATGATTTATCAGGTCATCTCCTGTTCCTGGCTGCTTGAGAGCAAGTTAATCAAAGGTTTGCAAAGAAAAGGTACAAGAAATTGGTCAGCGGACAGTCGAGAGGTAGCACAATCCTGGTAGTGCCAGGTCAATGTAGACAGCACCCTTCATGGAAATACGTTATTCAGCACAGCCTATCAACTGGCTGGGACTCAGCCCCCCCTGTCTTTTTGCTTCCCAGTTTGAGAGAATCTGCTCTTCTCACTCAGTTCAGCTGGACCTGCCATGCCCATCCACTATATCATAGGGAAACCAAACTACCAATCATATAAAGTCATGAGACGCATCTGACCCGCATGATCCCCGTCTGCCACTTCCTCAACATCCCATCCCAAAGATTTTGCTGATTCTGTAGCAAGTACCCTATATCTTATGGATATGGGGGAATGCTTTTCCTTTAATGTGAAATATTCACATTTATTTTTCCACTATCCTTCCCAAAATACATTGTTGTCCTTTTTTACTGGACATGATACTGTAGAAATTGTACTTCTCCCTTTCCTCAGCATGTACCTTTCCTCACAGATGTTCATGCTGTGGCTGCTACCTAACGTACTGACTAGAGACAGGTTGCTTTCTCAAGCAGAGTATGGGAAATTGTTCTCCTAGCACTATGCATCAGTATTATACTTTCCACATCTGATTGTGGGGCATTTTAAAGGCTTACATTCTTTAGCTTCAAAGTCTAGGAACCTTTCAGCAGGGCACAACTTCTTCCATTATTTGCAATTACAAAAGCAGAAGTCACGTGTGCCCTTGCTGAGGGTACCTTAAACTTTGCTTCCAAATAACAGTCTAGTAAGTAATTAAAAGTCCTGTCGGAAGTCCACTAGAGCCTATGCCCGAGAGGTTTCTGGTCGGAAGCTCTATGACTCAACATGATGGCGTTCACTTCTGCTGTTCACAAGTTCTGTGGGATCATTTAGGTCAACCATTTGCAATAGGAGGAACATTCAGCTGTTTTTAATGTTTCAATACATTCTGTATACTTGAATAACTGTAACTGTACTATGCCTGTATATTTTTGCTATAAACACTACAAAACTTAAAACTTTGGAAATTCAAGGAAAACAGTGAGCATAGCTGAGCCCCAAAATACAGGGAGAGAAATTGTCCACGAGCTTGAATGAGAGACAACACTCCCCGCGTCTGTTTGCCACACTAAGGACAGAAGCAGGTTGACAAGTTGTTTAGTCCTATTGAGTAGAGTTTTTCCGCATCTATGCTTTCACTTGCATTGCTACTCTCCTCTGAGTTACGCCTATTAATTTCTGAGCCTTTTAAACATCTTGTCACAATAGACACAAGTCTGAGCGTAAGAAAAAAATACATACACACACACACACAAAACTTCATGAAAAATGAGCCTGCAGCAATGAACTGCTCGCTGATGTAGGATTATGTAATTTTTTGATGGTCTCAAGTAAGGAGGGGGTGACAACGAAGGGGAAATAATTCTGAATGATTAATGCCTTGTCCTAGAATTTGTGTAAAACAAATGCTACTATAATTTCTGCCAAGCAAAAATCCTGCATAAAGAGGCAATGCTGCTGTCTCACTGGAAGGCCTTACAAGTCAGTTGTCACCTAGAGACTTCACAGGTGCCTCTCCTCCATGTGTTTACAACTTGTAAAAGACGTAATTTGGATTCACTTGCTTCAAAACCTCTTGCTATCTTCTTCTGAGTGAAGAATTGTACATGTACCTCCTGGCCAAGCGCAAAATGCAGATCTGACTAATGCATGCATAAACCACTGCTTAGTTACTAGTCAATACATCACATTTAAAATAGTCTGGAAAATGCCTATTGGATGTAAATGTGCTGCAAACTGAAAAGGAGCTTTTAACAGGAATGATTTCTTTTTCTCTCTCTGTCAGCACTAACTTAAAAGAGTAAGATTTCAGCTCAATTGCAGTAAATGAAAACGCAACATATAATAATCAGTCAGATTAAACAGAAGTTCTCCTTGTAAAGCGCTATCAACAAAATGCCAGTACTACGCAGCACCACTCAAAGCATTCAGTTGAGGTCTTATGCATAGACCTGAACAACTATTGTTTATACCACCGTGTCCAAAATAGAAGTCATAATCGGCAACAGCCTTTTCTCAAGCGTGACATGCTGCATGATGGTTGGAGCAAGGGCATGAATCTGTCTTCTCTGATGGCCCCTTGCTACCCAGTGGCTAGTGGCTCCTCTTCACTCTGCGCCCCTACTCTAATGCTGGCTCCAAGTAGGCCCAAGCAACTCAGGTTTCTCACACTGTGTTTGAAGAAAAACAGTTGAGGATGAAGTGCAAGAACTTCAGCGATGTGGCCTTTAAGCTTTTTAACACTGCTGGACAATTATAACTGTATCTTGAACATGAGCCTATAGTATCAAAACGCACATGCAGCACTCGTTTCACAGATGTTTGTCCTGCATAAGCTGTTCTAGGAATTGGAAAGGCAGCCAGCTTGCTGAAGTATCTTCATCAATGCAAATAAAAAGCAATTCTATAGAGGACTGTTACAAAGTAGTCTTCGTTTTGACTATTTCTCCCAAAATCATGACAGAGCCTAGTCAATGCAGACTATATTCTTCATGAATATATGTTATTCTATGTAATCTAATCAGTGGATTGAATAAATGATTGTCACTGTGCTGAAATTTGTAACTGGGAGGCTGCTTTGCTCAGCAAGGTGCAGTCAAGGCCGCATCTAAAAATTATCTGCTGAAAGCGTGTTTCTGTCCAAATAACAATGCAACATCAGTTACTAAACCACTTCACGTAATTCCAGACGTTACCTTCCCTGCCTTCCCAAAGGTTTCTACATTCCTCATTTCACTAAAGAGGTCTGAACTAAGCAAAAGAAGCTGCTAATGAGAGTGGTTAAGATTCATAGAAAAAAGGATATTTATTCTAAATACTGCATCTACTCCTGCTACAGTCTACAGGAGTACAGGCTTATTCTTAGCACTCATTCTGAAGTTTAAAGGAAAGAAACGTTGATCCTCCCAGTTAGCTAATCAAACCCCAATGTCAAATTACTAAGAGACCTCAAAATTTAAGAAGTACAACTTACAAAGTTGACCCTTAATAGCTAGCAATGCTTTCAAAAGATGTTTATCTATAACTCCAAGGTTAGCCATCCTGGAAAACGCCTATCAATTGCAGCAAGTCTAAAGGCCGTGAGATAACAAACAATGTGTGGGGGATATTGTTATAATTATGAAGCATAACTGCATAATTGCAAGCTGATCACTCATGCAAAAGATTGACAAAATCCATACAAAATATGTGAAATCACCACCCACGGAAAAATAATGCCTTCTGTGTAAAGCACCATCTCATCTACGTCAATCGTTTAGCAAACAGAAAAAAGACGAACGAACAAGACAGAAATAGCTCTAACTTGTTAGTAGACGATAAGCTTAAATTAGAGACCAAAGTACCTTAGTTACATTTGAGCAAAATGCCTTTTCAGGAACACCATTTATACCCATTCAGCACTGACCAATAAGAGTTTCTGTAATGAGAGCCACTAGACAAGAATAAAAGTGATATGGCAGACCAGAAGATTGAGTTGCCACCCAAGGAATTTATTCACAGCCCCCCTGTTTGCTCAAGGTTAAACAGCACAATTAGTCACCAAGGCCCTAGCTTCACAACACAAAAGCTTTGGCAGCACTTCTACCTTAAGGATTTCCTGGTCTCCCTTCCCCTTACAGCCACTTCTGTTTGCTGCCCCCGTGGTTATGCCAACGCATGCTGAATCACACCATGGTTCCACGCTGTGAATCAGGACCAGAGAGCTGTGCCAGTTTCTTGGCTTGGGGTGTTTTTTTTTTTTTAAAGTATCCTTTTTTTTTAAGCCCAGATTAACTCACTCATCTGTTTTATAGCACACTGCTATAAGCAACTGTCTCAGCCCAACTGCAGAGGCAATGCATTGCCACACAGGAGGGG